GTAGTGGAGTCTTGGCTAAGGAGATAAATACCTACTCAACAAACTCAGCAGCTCTCCCGTGTAACATGAACAGACTGCACAAAGATGACTCCCCAGGGAGCTCTGGTGGGGAGGAGTGTTCTGGCCCTCCAGATCAGCTCCTGTTTGTCCTGGGCACTGACGGTCACAGAACAAGATGGCTGCTGGCTCCCCTGAGTTGGGAGACCTGTTGTCCCTCAGGACCTGTAGGTCCCTCTTCCGGCACAGTGGTCCTCACACTTGGGCATGCATCGCAGTCCCCTGGAGGGCTTCTTAAAACACCCATTGCTGGGCCCCACATCCAGAGTGTCTGACTCAGGAGGTCTGGAGTGGGGCTGGAGAATTTGCATTTCTAGTCCTGGTAATGCTGATCTGCAGACCATACTCTGAGGACCACTGTCCTAGAAAAAACTCCCCTAGCCCAAGTTGCTGAGCTGCCAGCCTGCTGATTCCTTACAATTTTCATGAGGCCTCTGGGTAGTAGGAGTGTTTTGGCATATGTAAGAGGAAAACACAGAAATACTTAGACTCAATCAGTACAGCTAGTGTTTCAAGTTAAGCTGTTTAGTGAAGGGGGAGGGTACCGGCAGCCCCTTCCAGCTCCAATCTGACTAGCTGCTTGCTCTGAGTTGCTTCCTGTATTAGTTTTCTATTGCTGCAGTAACAAATTACCACAAATGAGAGAAAAAGGCTAAGGAGCGAATAAGAATCAGTGAGCCTACAGCATAGACATCAACCTCCAGCCAGTAAGAATGAGATTTCTACAAGCACAACCTGAATCCCTTGCCTTTCTTGCTTGCACAAGCTCTTGTGGAGCCTCCTCCCTGAGAAGCCTCCCTGATCCTTTCACAGGTTGTTAACTAGCACCTGCTGGCCCTGTCCTGTCCGGTTGTTAGCTTTGGGTAAACAGAAGGGGCTTTTGGCAACCCCTGGTGACATATACCCATTGTCAATACTGAATATATGACTCAAGCGTGGTCACACTGACCAACAGGAATGAATAAGTGCTGCACGGAGTGCCTTTGGACCATGTTAAAGCTGGGAGCAAATTCTCATCCAGAGAGCTGGAGGAAACGTCCTTTCGGAAACCGTTCTAACTTCTAACATGAGGAAATTGAGCCTAGAGATTTCAAATGACATGTTCAAGGTCACAAAGCCAGAAGCCAGCCACTCTCCCAATTCCCAATCTAGGGCTCATTCCACTAAATAATTTTGTGTTCCTCCTAAACCCCATGACAATGATCCCAAAACAATCCAAGTCCCTTTGACCACAAACATTGTAAAAACTGAATTGTGGTGAAGAGAAAAAGAAGAGCAGCAAGGCAAGGTTTTACTGTGATGTCCTTAAACTGCCTCCAACAATAGAAGAACCATGACTAGACAGCCTCACATCCTGGAAAAGCCAAGGATGGGAGGGACTTCCTTGCACTGTCTGTAAGAATTCATTGAACATTCTGTGCAGTCTTTAACCGGTTCCAAGGTCAAGAGAAACATTAGAAAATATGTCTGTGTGTCAGAGGACATTATTCAGGGATTAGTCCCCTGGAGTGATCTGGGCTAGATTTCCGCTTCCAGAACAACCCTTGGAAAGTCCTCAACGAGATACCACACCGGTCTCCAACATACTTCATTGAAGTTCAAATGGCAATCCAGGGGCAGAAGAGCTTGCTAGAGGTGCCCTCTTGCAGTGATTGAGCAGCTGGCTACAGAAAAATATAAATATGCCTGGTATGGCATATTTATATTTATAGAAAAATTTCTTCAAATATTCAAGCTGGAAAGAGCCTTATTAATCTTTCTAGTTCAGTCTCCTCATTTGACAGATATGGCAACTGAGGTCCAGGAAAGGGGAGTGACTTGTTACAGCTCACCCAGTGTGTTAGTGACAGAAGCAAGATTATATTCTCTTTCCCTGGTAGTCCCAAAAGACACATCACAGCCCCAGATAGAGTTAAAAAAGACAAAGGGCTCCCAAATCTGATCTGAAGGCTTCGAGACAATAATGCATGTGTAAGTCTGTCTGAAAATGTAGGGTTCCAAGACTTTAAGATAACATAACTAGAGTTCTCTCCAGAAAGGCTTTGCTAAAGGCCAATAAACGAATTTTTTCATTGGGCATGAGTGACAGTAACATTGACATCACATTAGCCAAAAGGAGCTTTCCATTTTGCAAATGTGTATGCCAGAATGTCATTAACTCTGCTTTTGAGGGGCTTATATATCCTTTTAATATTTTAATTACACAGATTGACTGATAAATGGTTTGAAACAGCCATTTAAAGTTTAGAGGCAGACATGATATATTAGGGGGATGAACAAATCTGTCCTATAAATAGAGTCTAGAAAAATCCTTTGCAAAACAAGCATTTTCAACAGGGAGAAGCAAACTCAGAACAATGGAATAGTATGCTGCTATTAAAATTGGTATTTACAAAGTATGCAGTAATGTAGGAAAAATATTTGAGTTACTACTATGCTAAGTGAAAAAAGCAAAACATATATATATACAGAAAAACCCTACAATGTAGAAAAACAGGCTGAAGTTTAATACAAGAAAAAAATAGATTATACAAAGAAGCACCAGTGTTCAAGGTGGGTGATGGATGTTTTTTCTTTCTTTCTATTACCAGGTATTTTCTGAACTGTATATAATTAACAATAAGTCCCAATTTAAAAGCTGAAAACAAGCATATTGCAAAACCCAGTTGAGATTTTTGCATGGAGCAAATTCAAAGTCACTTTCTAGTCACTTAGTCGGTTATCTGTATGACTGAGTGTGCGTCTATGCTCTTGAGGGGGAGTATGGCAGTGTCAGCCTAGAGACTTTTCATCTCTCCTTACCACCAAGCAAGCTTGAACAATGCTGCCCCAAACTGCTTACAATATCACAATTTACAACCATTGACTATTTAGTACCTTGACCCACTGAAAACTACGTCTCCCACCCTTACTCCTGAAAGACCTGAGAACACCATCAGTGCCAAAACCAGCTGGGCAACAGCACCTGGCTACAATTCTTAGCCCCTTCACATGCCCACCTGTGATATTTTGGGACAGCAGTCCCATAACTACGTGGGTCTCAGCAGAATAGACAGGCCGGTTTTTATTTCCTTTCTGTCTAATAAAATTTTAAGAAAAAGGGAGAGAGCAATTGATGCCTTTAGGTCAGGCTTAGTCTGGTGAAATTTCCTGATAAAACCTAGTATTTTCCTAAACCTTTTTTACCCCTGCCCCTCCAACTATGGTTTCTCCAAGTGGAATGTCAGCATTTGTCAAGCCCTTTCAGGAAGCTGATACCTTCAGTACATATAAGCCATGCTTTGACCTGAGCCCAGCCTCTTATTCTCTTGCAAGAAAGAGAGGAGCAAATACCATCAGACATTTTCAATGTCAGTAACCTTCACTAAGCACTAGAAAACAGATTGGATATGCAAGAAAACAAAAGAAACAAGGAAAAAATATGTTTCTGTCCTTGGGCTTCTTTTTTGTAGCAACTATACTGGCTTCAGATGGACAACAAATTGTCCTGGAATTCTTGGCGTTGGAGCAAACACGTCAGCTCCCTGGTTACGCCTTCGTCACTGCTCAAAGTACCATGCCCTTTAACCTTCCTGCTCTTTCCATAGGCCTGGGTTTGTCTCGTGTCCAGGAAACTTTATATGTTGTCTAAACTGAGCATCCCAGCAGGCTGCAAGGCAGATGGCAGCTCAGGATTCAGAATGTTGACCAATTCCTACCTGGATCCAAACCACGAAGCTGTAACTCAGCCTGCCAGTGCAGAAATAGGAGCACAGCCACGTGGCTAACAGCTTTTTTAACTGCTACTCTCAGCAATGAGGAACCTCCTAAGCAGACAAGATTAGGGAGAGAACTGAAAAGGAAGCAATGTCAAGATTTATCTAAGGGGATACACAGGTTTAACAAGAGAGTCAAGCCAATAAGCCCCCAACGCTCAGCTAAGCCAGGAGGAGCTAAAAGACCAGGTGTTGCTGACCTGTCCTGAGTCCTTGGGACCTCAGGTCACTAGCCCAGGATTTCATGTGGAGGAACTAGACCCCACTACAGGTCTCCCTCCACGTCACTAGATTCTCATAAGAGGCTTCACACTTCAGTCAGGGAGGAAGCCAGAACATGCCCAAGGTAGCACCTGAACCACATCATTCAATGCAGAACACATATGAAACGAGCAAGGTACAGAGAGTAAAGATGACACTATTTGTGTAAAAATAAAAAGAAAGAGGGGTGGGAATACGTATATGCAGAAGCTATCCCTGGAAGAGAATATACCTGGCAGCACTGACTGTCTCTACGGAGGGGAACTGAGCGGTTGGGGGAAAAGGTAGAAGACTTTACCTTTGTAGCTTTTGCATTTTGAACGATGTGAATCCATAACATTTCAAACAACAAATTAAAATTAAAAACAAATGCAGAATGCTAGAATCTTATTGTTATGAAAAAAGAAAAATACTCTATAAATCTGTGTGTGTACATAAAAAACATTCTGGGGGCCAGCCTGGTTGTCTAGTGGTTAAGCTCACGCGCTCCGCTTCAGCAGCCCAGGGTTCACGGGTTCAGATCCCAGGCACGGACCTACACACAGCTCATCAAGCCATGCTATGACAGCGTCCCAAGTACAAAATAGAGAAAGATTGGCACGGATGTTAGCTCAGGGCCAATCTTCCTCACAAAAAAACAAATGAAAAAAAATCTGGAAGAATAAACAACTGTTAACAAGGGGTTCCTCCTGGGGAATGGGAGGAGGCAAAGTAAGGAGACTTCCATGTTTTATTTTATATAGACTATATTGTTTCAATTGTTTCCAAAAGGCAGTACTACTTTCATATCTATTACTTTAAAAAAGAAACATCTTTAAGAACTGCAATCTCACCTCCAACAAGAATCTTAAACTCCTGTAGTACTTTTTCTGTCTGTCTCATGTTACTCAATCACATCCTATCTGTGTTATAATTATCTGTGCACAGGTCTCATCTCTGTTAAATGCTCGAGCAACTGCAACCTGTCTACCACTCAAGCTCCACTTTCCAGAGACAAAACTCTATGGAAAAGAACCAGTAAGGAATAAAAGAGCAGTCAAGATAGCAACAAGGCAGTTACACAAGAACAAAACCATCAACTGAAGTGAAAGTGAGCAGTAATCTTATATTAATTAGCACAAGACTATTAGCAATGGGAAACCACAACCAAGTCAAAATAACACTGAAAACAGAGTCCTTCCCAGAAATTGTGGGAATTCCAACAATCTGTGTGTGTGCGTGTGGTAGAAGCTTTGCAAATAACCAAGCAAAGTGTGACAGCCAAATTTCTCAGCAGAATTCAGTAAATTCCTGTCAGAGGACATGTTCTTTGTTTAGGAAAATTCTGAAGTGACCTCTGAGTGTTGAAAGAGAGGTTCCCTCTAGGACATGGCCTGAAGGGATAAAGAACCTGAATTTCTCTGTAAATAAAAGCAGAGAGTTTGAATTTCAGGGGAAATGGGAGGCTATACTAGAAAAATGAAGGTCATGTGAGGTGGTCCCAAAGAGAGGACTCAATACTAGACAGACTGTGCTGAGGAGGCATAGATAGCCACCGGGAAATTGAGAAATTCTGGGAAGCAAGAGGTAATGAATGTCTACGTCTTGATTTTGAGCTATTTGCTCTGAAGTAATGTAATCCCTCCCTGTTGCCTCTAACAGACTGCCATACGTTACCACCCTGACGTGTGTGTGTCTGGAGGGGGTGATTCACAATGGAGCAAATGGGGTAGAAGGATCCCATAGGTCCACAATGCTCAATAACACGTTTTCCAAAATCCCCAAGTTGAGGGCTGGATTTATTCCCCTACCTGAAACAACCAAAAACAAAAAATCGATGAAATATATGAAAAAATGACACCAGATGAAATATACGAATGATAATGAACTGTCAGGGAACTGCTGATACAAGAGAGGGAGAAAAGCAACACAGGACAGATGCAGAGAGGGGATCAAGGGATGAACAGAAGTGGAAAAACCAAAGCAAAAGGTGACCAGAAAAAAATGAAAGTCCCCCAACAATCCACAAGAGATATGAGGACTGCGGTAGAACTAGATTTCTCACAGTACAAGGGATGGAGAACTCTGTCTATTTGGGGCTGATATGGGTGCCCTCCTTAACCACTTTCTCTCACTCTCCACGTCCACTCTGTTAGCAAGTCTTGTCAGTTACAACTTCAAACTGCATTCAGAATCCAACCGTTTCTCACCACCTCCACTGCTACCACCCTAGCCCAAGCCACTACCAGCTCTCACCTGGACAACAGCAAAAACCTCCTCACCTTCCTGTTTCCAATCTCACATGCCCCTCACTCCCCATCCCAGTCTATTCTCCACACAGCAGTCAGTCAGAAAAACATTTATCACTTGACAGATGAGAACAGTTACTTGCTTATTGTCTGTCTCCCCTCCTCAGACAAGCTCCATGAAGGCAAGGTCTTCGATTTCTGTTCATTGCTGTATTCCCAGAGACTAGAACAGTGTCAAGGTATATATAGGTAGCACCAAATAAATATTTGTTAAATGAACTACATAAGCAGTTATGGAACTGTATACCATATACCTCTACAAAATGAACAAAGGAACTGCATTTTGCATCAATTTGTGGGCCTTCAGGAGGCCCAGGGATCTGCAAATCATATCATGCTTTGTCATCCATCACTGACTCTACAATGGCTTGTACATAGCGCTTACTGAATGAATCAACAAAAGGAATATAAAATAAGTTTAATATCACGTATGGTGCCTAGGACTGGCCTGGACAGAATATGGATGCTTTTATAGCTCCTGGCACAGAAGTAGATGACTGGTACAGAGTAGAATTCATAAATTATGTCAAGTCCAAAAGAAAATACACTATTTAACATGGACCTAGCATATTCTGTGCCAGCTAAGAGAACTACAGAGGTGACTAAGGTAATTTTTGTCTTCAAAGGACTAAGATAATTTTAGATATCTGCGTCTCTATAATTTGTGAACGAGCACAACTAACTCAGTGGTATCATTATTCTACTAGAGATTTTCTTGTGTATATCTTGTGTATATACACAAGAAACATTCAGGAGGCACAAAGAAGGAAGTGATCATCCTTACCTGAGGAGGTCAGATGGTCAAGGAAGGATTTATGAAAAAGATTTCATTTGAGCTGAGTCTTATAAGGAAGAGTTTACCAGATGAGAAAAAACACATTTAGGGAAGAAGGCATAATCTGTGTGAAAGTCTAACACACGACTGCCTTCCAGAAGGGTTCCTGAGAGGGAGTTAACAAAATATGGAAGGACATTCTGAATAAGACAGAAAAAATGTACAAAGCACTTTCCTTTAAAGACAGAGCCTGTGCTTTTAAAAGTTCCTGGACCCTCCTCTCAAAGTACCCATTTTCCCAATAAGATGTGACCTCCAAAGGGACTTGACAGATTTAAAAACATCAAATAACAAAATCAAGGAGGGGAAGACAAACATTAACAAAATCAAGGAGGGGAAGACAAACATTTATTCCAGTCCAGGTTGCTAGAGGACTTCAAGTGAGAGCTGCACGGCATTCTCTGTTATTATCAGCACCGACAGGGGAAGAATGTACCTTACCAGCAGCTCTGCCCAAAGCTTGCCGATGGCTGTGAGGTTCCCAGTCACGCAGACTTCTCCTTCCGTATGCAGTTAACGAGGCCTTCCCCGCTCGTAGTGAAGGTCTCCTTAAGTTTAAATTCATTTTGTGCAGAGAAAAGAATCTAATATACTGATTGCTCCTCATGTAAGCCATGACTTAAATCCTACCTCAGTATTTAACTATCTTTATTTTCTGATTAAAATAGAAAAAAAGGGAGGAAGGGAAGGGGCAATAGAAATTACACTGTGCTGATACAGAGACTTTAAATTCTAGTTAGAGTTAAGACTCATAATAAAGGTTAAATGATGGTCCAAAGGAAGTAACTACATGGAGTCTGATGGAGACATACATGAGTTGAGTTTCATCATTAGCCTCAATAATGAAAACAATTCTCAGCAAAATTGGAGTCCACACTTGTTAGGTATGCTCTGTTGGGCACGGGTAGGTAAAAGTCTGGAGAAATGGGTTCTCTCCACACCCCAGTGACAGAGAAAGAAGGCCCCTGGTTGATGGAAAGAGCAGCTCTTGTTCCCAGGTGGCGTCTGCAGCTCCCAGCTGAGTTTAGCAGTGGAACCGAGTGGAGAAATTGGGAGATACGGGCACAGTCAGAGACTGGCCACTTGACTTGATCTCCACACTCTGGTACTTTCGTATTGGATTTGCCTTGTGCACCTGCCGAGTGAGGAAAATAAAGTTACCACTGATAAGGATGTTAGAGAACTACACTTATAATTGTTTTTATTTTTTCTTCTTGAGAAAACGTTTGTGTAGTTTTACAAATCCGTCACTAATTCAAAGAAAAAAAACAAAAGCAACACTATCATGAAAAAGCACATGAGCTTTGGAACCCAACCAAGTAGGTTTCTATTTAGGTCTTGTTGGGTCTCTCAGCTGGCACTGAAGAATGTCAAACCTATCTCCAGTTTGATTGTTTATTAGTAGGGTGTAATGGGGATGTGCTCAATTGCAGCAGAGAAGAGATACATAATAAGAATTTGCCAGAGTACAATCTTAAGCTTACTGAGACTTAATATTCACCAAAAGCATGGAAAAAAAACACAATAACCAGAAAGTGTTGCTGAGAGAAGGCAGTGTCCCATCCATCCTTCTGGGCAGTCTAAAATCAACCCTGAATCAAGGCAGATTAGTAGAGAGCTAACTAGTATTGACTGAACTGTGCTTTAGAATGTGGCCATCAGCTCACACTGAGAATCGCTGTAAGAAATAGCTCTATGATGGGGACAAACACAAGAGACAGGTACCAAGTGTTGAAGAAAAATCAAAGAACTTGAGGCTGGAAAAAAGACTGGTTTTGGGAGTATATCTGGAGTGAGGACTGTATTGTTTTTTCATCCAATCAGAAAATGGTAGCTTGGATTTTGCCAAGAAGCTAGTCCCTTTAATAGTTTGTCCCTAGAGCCTTCCTGCAGCCACAGTCTCCCCTGCCAACAGCTGTATCAGCTGCTGGCCTAGCACTTTTAGACAAAACCTCAACAACTTATGTATTTCTATATTCATCCTTTTATTTTATTTTTTTTTTGTGAGGAAGATTGGCCCTGAGCTAACATCTGCCAATCCTCCTCTTTTTGCTGGGGAAGACTGGCCTCGGGCTAACATCCATGCCCATCTTCCTCCACTTTATATGGGACACCGCCACAGCATGGCTTGCCAAGTGGTGCGTCGGTGCGCACCCAGGATCTGAACCGGCGGCCCGCCGCAGTGGAGCTCGCACACTTAACCACTTGCACCACCGGGCTGGCCCCTATATTCATCCTTTTATTAATCATATGAAGTTCCATCTATAACTGTGTTCTTCATTAATGCAGTTAACGTGGCTTGCTGTCCTCCTAGTAAAAGGTCCTTAATGTGAATTAAGCTTTCTTTTTGGATAACTAACTTCTAAATCATTATGCTAGTGTTGGCATGGAGGGTCACCTGGACCGATATGCACTATAACCCAAGGAATTTGAGTGAAGTATTAAGAGGAAAATGAAAATACAGTTGCCACACAACTCCCATGTCCTTCCCTACCTATGTATTCTTGTCTAATTGTAAAACACATTGGCTTTCTTAAGCCTTAACCAAATAATAAAAATAAGTTAAATAAATAAAAAGAGTCCTATGAATGCATCACTGTGCATGGTTATACCACGTGATTTCCTCCTTATGAGGATTCCTGGAAGAAATTCTGTCTGAATTCAATATCAAGAATAAATTTTTTTTTTTTTTAACAACTAGCTTGTATATATGTCATGAACATTGTAAGTTTTGTAACTGACAGGTTGGTTCGCTAAAAGGGCCAAAATCATGGCTCAAACTTAGCAGATATGTGTGTGGATCACAATGTTCACATCTTTAGCCTTGTTCACGTCTCAACTTTGTCACCACCCTTGGTTTGTGTGATTTCCTGCTTTAATTCGTCTTTGATGTGTCCTGTAGGCCACCTTAGATCCTTTCTGGAGTAAGGCAAGGCACAGATAAAACAAAACAGAGACAAC